CTACTCCAGTGTGACTTTGAACTTCGGTGGCATAATTTCTATAGTCTATGAAGTCTGAAGTCTGAAGTACTTAATTTGATTCCAAACCCTCACAGTAAATGTAAATGAAATACAGTTCCCCGTAAGTTGTGATGTAATGACCTGTCTCACGCGGCAAGCAAGCAGAGATGTCTACCCTGGAAATGTTGGAAGCAAAGGAAATTAACTCTGCGCACATCAGGGTCTGACTTGGAAATGCTCTTTACATCATTCAAAAACACCTGGTAGGAAATTGAAATGTGGACGTTGTGTCCTAGACACAAATCTTTGTAAATATAAGGCCTCTGTAAAGGGGAAAGGAGGGGGCTAAGCCAGTTGAGAATTTAGATAGCAGGGAAGGGAATCCTTCACCGGCAATGAGACACGCCCTTCTCTTCTCTGTCGATAGAAGGCAGATACTAAGCAAAATATCTTCAAATTTGAAGAGTGTCTCTTTCGTGTTATGTAATTATATCTTTTAAATATTCAATAAAATCTTTCAGTGAGTGGTATAATGTCTTATCCTAGCTTAGTGAAAATTGACTTCCACAATTTATTTACATTGATGCTCACCCTGTACAAGGCCCAAGAGCCACTTTAGTTATAGAAAACAGAGGCACATATTTTGGGTATATGTGAGGAATATAAGGGTTAACTCTAGACTTGAACAGTTTAAGATTGAAGTGATCGAGGAAGCATATTCTTGGGAGTCGGTAACAGGCTAGCTGCTGTTCTTGGGAAAAATCTGCTCGAGTGGAGTCTACATCTCACTAATTGAATAAGATAGGAATGAAGGTGATTGGCTACAATGGGCGTGGCATGGCGGGTTTTAAACGGGGTCATTAGAACTAGTGGAATTAAAGAATGTAGTTCGTCTGAACAATTGCCATGGAAACAGCGATATAGCAGTGAGAGGCCTGCGACTTTTCATCAGTGGGAAAAGAGTTGTAGGGTGGAAATATATCATCACGGAGACGCTTTTGGATTCAACTGAAAAGTGAAGATTGAGTGGCTCCTACATATATAGGGCAGCTGTACACCATTATAGGTCTGATCTGACTCTTGTAAAAGTAGAGGAAATCAGGAGGAGTCTGGTATTTACTACAGCAGTATAATGGAACCGATTTTTCCAGTAGCCTTAACGCTGGCTCGTATATACGAGTTTGACTTGAGGTCTGGCCCCTTCTTGAGAAACGCCGCGATAGGGGAAAAGTGAGAAACTCTTTTGTGATGTATGTTGTTACATGGCAAAGAATATTACACGATTTCCTTACAGTTTCTCCGGCATTCCTCGTCAGCGGTAATCTCTTCCAGTTTCTTACCTCCTCTTCCTCCTCTTTCTTCCTCCTCCTCCTCCTCCTTCTCTTCTTCTTCTTCCTCTTCTTCTTCTTCTTCTTCTTCTATGTACCGTGTCCCCCACTGGCGATCATGATCATGACTCTCCACAATTTCCGTGCTTCTTAGCCCGTAATAATTTTTACCTTTTTCTTATCCCTGCTAATCTCTGTTCTGCAACTCATTTACACAAGCGTAGTGGGTTGCTTATGCGTTGCTCACCTCTATCACTTTTGCATTCAATACGTCCTGTGTGTGTCAAATGATACAAACCCCCCTCTTTCGTCAGTACGCGCCCGAAACATTTCAACTCTTTCTGATGCCAAGTGTCAAACCCCGAACAACGAGGTGGATTCACCCGTGCGAGTGTAAATGTGAGACCAGAACGTGGGACTAGGGAAGACAAAAAAACCTCTGTGTTTGCTGATATTCTGCTTGTCAAACTCTCGGCCTTCGAGCAGAAAGGGACCCAGACTAGGCTCGTCTGAGGAGGTTGACAATTACCCTATATCGTGCATACAGGATCTACGGGCAATTTTTGTCCGAGCTTGCAGGCTAGAAATCTCTCCACGTTAAAAAAAAGGCCTTGTGCCATATCACGCCTTTTAGGGAGGTCTTGGGTAAATACAAAGACAGCAAAATCTGTATTTACCGTCCGTCTGAGATAATTGTAATAGCAATCTGCAGCTGGACTTACTCTAACAGTGACTGAACTCAATTAAATAATGCACATAGATCATTAAGTGTAAGTGTCTTTTTGCTTCCATTTTTATAAAACTACGCCATTGCTCGCATGTTCGGTCTATCCTTCTGTTGCTTCATGCCTCTTTTCCATTTGAAAGGAGATTGTGCAGCATTCACTGCCATATACCAAGACTGATATTACGTAACAGTTCAGTATTTTTTTTATTTGTTTCTAAATAAATTTTCCTGTTTCTTAATACTTTGCTTAAGTTTTGGAAAGCATGTTTCGCTATCCCAATGCACCTTTATGTCACACTTTCTGTAATCTGTGCAAAGACTTCCCAGATATTTTAATTTTTTGAAATTGTTTGATTTTTGCTAACAGCTATACATTCTGTCTTCTTGCAATAACGCTTGATCCTTTCTTATCGTGTTCTTTTACTATGGTCTGTGTGTCTTCTTGTAGTATTCTTTAAATGCAATGTCAGTAGTCACCATCATTTTGGTTGTTGTGTTCTACGGCCTTCACTAGATGTTTGCCGATTCCGTTAAACTTCAGGGAATTTCGAACTGAACGATTTATTTTAATCTATGGAGGTAGATTGTTTAAACCACTGGGCTCTGTGTACAATAACCAATAGCATTAAATCTTTGGTCTGTAAATTTGGTGAAATAGTAATCGTGAGTTCAATCCTTTGGACGGGCAGGATTAAGCATACCTTTGGCATCTCCAATTTCTATTTTGGGCTCATCCTTTTGCTAACAACCATGCATTCTCTCTTCTTGCAATTGACGTTTGGTCTTCTCTTCTCGTATTCTTTCACTATCTTCTGTGTGTCTTCTTGTAGTTTTCTTCAAATGCAACGTCAGTCGTCACCATCTGTCTCATTGAAACCTGTTTTTTAGTCATTTAATACCAAGCAAGTTAGCAATGCCACTAGATCGCAAGGTCGGCAGGGGGTACAGGAATTGAAAATGAAGGAGAATAAGTAGATTGAAAATAGGTGGGATCGAGGAAAATTCTAAAAAGGAACAGATTTCAAGAAAACAAAAATGGCGCTTGACTTCTGAAGATTGTATTTTTCAGGGAGACAAGAAATTGGAAAGAAGTTCACAATGACAGTTGCATCTAATCTGGTTCAACAGTAAAACGGTGAGACCTAGTCCTTTTATTAACCCCTCTGTTCTTTTTACTCTCAATAACACCATGCATCTTACTTGCATTTATCGACCTGTTTAGGGTAAAATGATTAGCAAAAATAGACTTGAAGCTTCATTTTTGAGGTTCTACGATGCTGAAAATTTACCAAAGACAAGATTTGGAGAAAATGAGAAATATACTTTCTGTTTGAATTTCTGTGATAAGAATTATCATTATTTACACGTAGACTATTATCCTCATTTTTGTTGTTGCTATTACATCCTTTCGGCCATTATGACTTACGTCCTTGACTAGATGCTTGTCGATTCCGTTAAACTTCAAGGAATCTCGAACTGAACGATTTATTTTAAGCTATGGAGGAACGACCTCAGTCCAGTGCTTAAGGGCAACAGGACTATATTTCTCTTCATTACTATCTGGCAAGATGCAAACACGGGTATAAAGGTTATCATCATCTGACATGAGGCAATAAAACTGGTACACTTAAATTCGGTAACTATAGCGCTATGACAGATCATCCCAAATATTCACAAAGTTTGGATGCGAACAGGACCCCAAATATAGGATAAGATTTTGTTAGGGTTAAATCCATTGCCTTCGTAATAATTGTCTGGGAATTTAGCTTGGTGGAAATCACTCTGTTCTAGGCATCATAAATATTAACCAGGTTAAACTTAGATTGCGCCAGACTCAGTCAGAGTAAATTATATCTTGCTAGATAGAGAAATATATGAAGAGGCAGGAATGAATATCAATTAACAGATAGATAGATAGATAGATAGATAGGTAGATAGATAGATAGATAGATAGGAAGGAACAGGATGAGATAAGAACATACTGAGATAGATAGATAGATAGATAGATAGATAGATAGATAGATAGATAGATAGATAGATAGGAACAGGATGAGAGAGGAACAGGATGAGATAGGAACAGGATGAGATAGATAGATAGATAGATAGATAGATAGATAGATAGATAGATAGATAGATAGATAGGAACAGGATGAGAGAGGAACAGGATGAGATAGGAACAGGATGAGATAGATAGATAGATAGATAGATAGATAGATAGATAGATAGATAGATAGATAGATTTTTTATTTTCATGTTGAACCTGTATAAGGACCAAGCGCCATTCGATGTACATAGTAAGAGAGTTACATAATAAGAGGTAAAATTTATGGTGGTGTTAGCGGTTGACGATAGCTAGCTAGCTAGCTAGCTAGCTAGATAGATAGAAATATTTACATTATTTTATTGTTCGGACTGTTGTCCTCATCTTTATTGCGATAATTACGAAGAGAGGTATGACAGGTGTATCGAGAACAATCTAGCCCGGTGGACGAAATAAAGTGTCCAGTTCAAAATTCCAATCATCTGAAGAAGACCGGAGCGTACAACGGCCGAAGTGTCGTGAATATGTCAACAAAGATGAGGCCAACAGTCTTTTAAACTCTGTTATTTACGTTGTTCGGTGTAAATAATGTAAATAATTACAATACTACATTTCAGAAATATAAACAGATATTGAAATATATATCAACAGATAGCTATATTGATATATTTTTTAATGATTTCATCATAAACAAGGCAACAAAGCCACTAAGACGCAGGGTTTTCCTGAGTTTGAAAGAATATAAGGAAAATATTATTAAGCCGTGAGAACAATAAAAGAACCGGAAATCAGAAGCCCGAAGATTTGCATTTAAATCTTGGAAGATCAAACTTGACTGGAAGTAGAAAGCTGGATGAGAGTTTCACTAGCGCAAGACAAAAAATTGTTAGCATAGAACTTATGGTTATGACGACACGGAAATAGAAAGAGAAAGAAATAAACTGGGATAGATAGATAGATAGATAGATAGATAGATAGATAGATAGATAGATAGATAGGAATAGGATGAGATAGGAACACTGAGATAGATAGATAGATAGATAGATAGATAGATAGATAGGAACAGGATGAGATAGGAACATACTGAGATAGATAGATAGATAGATAGATAGATAGATAGATAGATAGATAGATAGATAGGAACTGGCTTGGATAAACACATATGAAAAGGCATAGATAGATAGATAGATAGATAGATAGATAGATAGATAGATAGATAGATAGATAGATAGATAGGAACTGGATGAGATAAGAACATACTGAAATAGATAGATAGATAGATAGATAGATAGATAGATAGATAGATAGATAGATAGATAGGAACATTGATGAGATAGGAACATACTGAAATAGAACATACTGAAATAGATAGATAGATAGATAGATAGATAGATAGATAGATAGGAACATTGATGAGATAGGAACAGACTGGGATAGATAGATAGATAGATAGATAGATAGATAGATAGATAGATAGATATGAAAATATATTAAGTTTTTGATACGTAGATATAAATGATATATACCGAGTGTAATAGCTATATTGTTCAGTTGTTAGATTAAGATTTGAACCGTTGTATTTTAGCAATAATTCATGATATCTTAGTAGAATCCTCCGAGGTTTTTATAACACTATTGTACTTTTGAACAATAAGAATGTATTTCGTCAGAATTGAAGTGACCATCCCTCCTGCTGTTGTGACCTCCTGATCCAGGCGTCCTCTCTACTATTCCCTCTTTTTAAACTTATCACCTTTCTCTTGATGGCTATTGGATGGACATTGAAGGTAGAAGCCATAGTATGAATGATGGCAACATTAATGAAGGCTTGAATGATCGTTTTTCCACTCAGCATTGTTCAGTTAGGAAGACACAAAACGATTTTAACCTGTTCTCTTTCAAGCTGAATAACTCAAAGGGTGTTTCAGTGATTTTTATGACAAATGGTGTCAAGATGGCTAAACGTCTTATCTAAAAACCTGACAACTATAGCTCGCTGGCTAGCTTGCTATTTAGAAATAGTTTTGTATGAGTAGAAAATTAAAAAAAAATATAAACAAATGAATGCATATTTCTTCACAACTTCTCCTTATTTTCAATATTTACATTATTCGAACTATTGCCTCATCTTCGTTGAGACTTTTATCACAACGTTTCGGTCGTTGTACGCTCCGGCCTTCTTCAGATGGTTGGAATGTCGAACTGAACCGTTTATTTCGCTCGCTCTGGTAGACTGTTCTAGTTCCACGTACCATGTCTAATGGATTTCAGTTATCATTTATCTTCTGTTATTTCCCCTCTCCAAGTTCTCCACTATCTTAACAAGGCATTGAACTCACAACATTTTGGCTCCTGTCACTGGATCTAACCAACGCATTTATCCAACCACCTGAGGAAGGCCGGAGCGTACAACGGCCGAAACGTTATGATAAATATGGCAACAAAGATGAGGACGATAGTCCGAATAATATAAATGGTGTACATATTACCTCATCTCAGAAATATAGAAAGATTCTCCTTATTTTATTTGCACACTTGTATCTTTTATTAATTGCATCAACATTCACAAGTAGACTTCTAATTAAGTTTTGTATGTTGTACAAATTCGATTCAAGATGTCTGACATAATTATGTTTTAGCATTATTTTTTTTTACTTCCGATAATAAAAAAAAAAGCCAAATGTAATTAATTGCTTATATTCCGGAGACTAAACGAAGCGCTTTTTTTTTGCTGCGAGTGCTTCAGACTACTATTCCGTTTCTTGAGAAAAAAAAATACGATATACTTTTGTAAATAATTGATGACGGGTAAAAAATCTTTAACCTTGGTTCTACATAATTTGCTTACAGAGATTGTCCAGATAATCGCATTCAACACTTTTTCTCGGGATAATCATATTTTAGACGGCCTGTCTAAAACTAATAAAAAATTTGGCATTTTAATGAGCGTGAACGATAAGTGATTTAATATGGTCAGTTTTCTGTAGTAATATATTATCGCTACTGCTCCCTATCGTATTCTATAATTTTACCTAAGACGTTCACTTAGCCCGATGCCAAGATATTATTATTTTCTGAAACGACATCATCATTAGGATTGGTTGAGAAAATAGCACGTTAACAAAGTGACGCTGGGGTAGCGATATAAAAATAAGGTTACGTCGGGCATATTAATCACAGCCATCAGACGCGATACGGTCATAGATTTGGATGAAAGCTTTCTGATAGGGTCCAGTTAGAAATATTTTCAAATCGAATAAAAGTCGTATAAGACGCACTCTGATTGAAGATGCTACGAAGTATCTAGATGCGTCTCCCAAGACGTCTCACCTGATTCATACTTCGGACTAACTCAGGGTAAATTCTAGACAAATATTTCTTTAGATTACGCCAAGATCCGTATCGCCAAAATATTTAACTGCAGAATGCCATCAAGCTTATTGAGACAAATATTGCAGACGTTGTCATTTTACGAATAATATATATCTTGCATATTTATAAGTCTGCCATTGATCCTAGTTTTGAATATTGTTGCCATATATGGTTGGGTGTCTCTGGTATACATTTAAAAATTATTAATAAATCCAAAGAAGAATATCCAATGTTATGTTACTGACTTCTCATATCAGCTTCATTAACTTTCCACCGCCAAAACATAGCCTTCCTTTACCTTTTCTATAAATATTTTCATGGTAATTATTCTGATGAACATTTGTCTATGTTACTTAGACACTATGAATTTAAACGCAGTGCTAGATTGGCGTCAAGGTCTCATCATTTTATAGTTGAAATGGCTGAATGTGACCGCAAGTTCTATGTTAACAGTTTCTTCTCTCGTATTTCTCGCTTGTGGAATTCTCTTCAGACTTCTTACTTCCCAGTCAATTTTGATCTGCAAAAATGAAAATGCAATGCCAATCGCTATCTACTGTTTTCTTAATACCTGTTCTTTTATTGTTCATTCTAGATTTTTTTTTCTTTCTCATATTCTCTGACATTGAATAACCGTTTCCATTTCAGTATATTTATCCCTTCCTTGGCGCGAAATTATAAAAAAAAATAAACACCTCGTAAAAAAAGGCAGAAATAACTTTATCTTGTGGATGTCAGAGTTTTGGAATAATTTTTGAAAATATAGCCCCGTCTTCCATTTGACAATAACTCGAATAAATGATCTTATTATTCAAGGAACAAATAGTATGTTAATGTCTCATTAAGTTCTGTCAGCGAAGAGATTTCGCCATTAACACATAAACATTGACATTTAATTCTTTGTATAAATTGTTTCTTTATGTATATATATATATATATATATTATAAATTAATTGATTTAAAATATGTTTTTTTTCGCTACACAGTTCTAACCATGTTTCAAAATGGAAGCTAAAAGCTTCGAATTTAATTTTCTAATTAAATTAAAAACATTAATTCCATTTCATCCTCAAGCGAATTTTGGAGTAACTTATTTATTATTGGGTTTTAAAGGCACAGCAAAAAATGATAATTCACGTTTCCAAGGATACAGAGAAGTCCATTCATCCAGACAAAACACAAGGGGTGGTTGCGCGTTCATTATCGCTGTATTTTGATGTATCAGTTATTAGTTACGTTTTGGTAGGGGTAGGGATGTATTTTTCAATGAATTCTGACATCCGTCAAATGCATGTCGTCTGGATTTTTTTAAAATTTATTCTTAACGGCAAAAATTCTTACGGCATTTTTTTCTATTTGTATACTTAAAGATTTTTGGAGGATGTTTAGGTTAGAATCCGTTTTATTTAACTACTTTTTTTAAAAAATATTTTCACTTTTAATTTTTAATATACGAAATTTCTTTTTAAAACAAGTAAACGTATTAGAATCATTTACAGTATATAAAATTATTTTCACAACAAGTATAAGTATGTATATTACTAGGTCACAATTTTTTTATTTTTTATTTATATTTAAATATTATTCAAGTAAAATTTATGACAATGACGGCAAAAATAGCTAATTAATTTCTCTGAGTAAACTTTTTATTTTTTATAAACCTAGTAATATATAGTTTCTCATGTAAGTACAAAGGACATGGGTCATTCAGTGGCCTACATCTTCTAGCTTTTCATATTAATTTCATTTTACTGTAAGTGTTTTATTGGATTCATTTAAGTGCCGGTAGTACTTTGGGAGAGTTGTTTAGGGTAGAATACGTTTTATTTAATTACAATTTTAAAAGATGATTAGGTTAGAATTCGTTTTAACTACAATTTTAAATGCAACTTTAAAAAATATTTTTACTGTTATTTTAATAGACTATATATATATATATATATATATATATATATATATATATATATATATATATATATAGTCTATTAAAATAACAGTATATAAAATTGTTTTTTCACATTAAATATAAGTATGTATATTACCTGGTCGCACTTTTTAAATTTATTTTTATTTTTAAATATTATTTAAGGAAAGTTTTTAAAAATGACGGCATAAAATAGCAATTTCATTTCTCTGATTCAGTAAATTTTTATTTTTCATAAACTTCGTAATATATATTTCCTCATGTATGCACAAAGGACATGGGTCATTTAATGACCTACATATTCTAGCTTTTCTTATTAACTTTCATTTTACTGTAGGTGTTTTATTTGATTCTTTTAGGTGCCAGAAGTACTTCGAGAGAGATGTTTGATTTTCATATTTATTTATCCTAAACGAACGTTTTGGTGGAATCTTTTTTTGAACTCTAGGCTAGTGCAACCTATATATAAGTTTTTATGTTTTCAGGACTTTCAGTCGAAGAGATATTGCATTGGTATACTAATGATTCTATCCTAGAGAGCCAGACAAACCTACAAAGGTTTCAACTAAGCGGATCGTCAGAGAAGGCTGATTTTGCGTACTCGCATC